TCCGTCTTAATATTTTCTCCGAAGGCGTGTCGTTGCAGAGCAAAATACCCAAGAAATAGTTACTGAGATGAACCAAGGAAAAGTCTATTAAAAGAAAGAAATATTTGGACATTGTATTCATACTGATACTGATAAACCAGTCTTTAGACAAAGTCCTTACAGTCAGCATTCGTCTGCCCAAGTTCAACCAATTCCAGGAGGCGATCCTTTAACGCATGATGCGCCATCGGCGTCGCCTTACTGGCTGAGAGAAACACGCCTGGAAATAATATAAGCGGTAATGGCAAAGTTGTAAATTGCCGATACTAGCAAAGCAACCGAGTTGTGGCACGAGTGATTCACTGGCTTCCGGTTGCGAAGTGCCAGTGGAGCTGGATCAGCCAGGAAGCTTTCGAACAGGAATTGTTTGATTTTGAACGAGATAATAAGTATCAGACTCAAGTAGATGTAGGCAGCAAAAAAGATAACACAAGCATCAGATAATCTCCAGTCAAAATCTCTGTTGAAGAAAGAAATTTGATAGATAGGCACGTGCAAAATATAGCTACCCAAAGCGTTCCATCCGCTGTAACAGAGTATCAACAGCGGGATGTCGTAAGCGAGAGTTTGAAGCACAAAATGGTGTGTCGAGGTAAAAAACTCCGATATCGCCGGAACTATGATGCAGCCGTGACTTAGGGCACTTTGTAACTCAAACAGCCACAACTTGTTATCGTTGAGTATTTTCAGATGCCTTTCGAGGGCTTTGCTGTGATTCTGCTTGTAGACAAATGAGTAGTACACAGTAAAGATAAATATTGTTAAAGCGAAGTGTGTATTCACAGCGCTCTGCAAACTTTTGTCACGTCCTGGTTGTTTCAGCTTGTGCTTTGAAGCATGTGATAGACTTTGACACACAAGCCAAAAAAAGAGAACGCAGCTTGCAATGACGTTCAAGTTTGTTAGCAAGAATGGCTCCTTGAGACAGTACTGTCGTAGCTCATCCAGATTGCGGCAGCTCGAGCATGAAATGAGAATGTAAGCTACCTGGGATTTGGTGTTTGACTCACATCACACAGCTGTAGGCACTGGGACAACGACGGCTAATATTGCGAACAGATAGATAATCAGTCCAAAAATTCGGTTGCATAACACGAGGTGCCTCCTGTAACCCATGATACTATGGGCATTCGGCCAGGGCGTTTCTGATGAACTGGACAATGCGTACAAGCTGGTCACACTCGAAGGCGTGCCAATTTTGCCCCGACTTTCCGTCCACTTGGCCGCGTCTCCCACTCAGATGATTGAAGCAAGGGAAGACGTCAAGGATTTTTTATTAGGTAATCTTCGATTAGGAAAGTAGCGCCCCGCGGGCCGCAGCCCCGGCGCTGGCGCCTCCGGCAACGGCCCTAGCATTGGCTGGAGCGGGAGGAGCACCGTTTCATCAGCAAGGGGGACAACCGGGTGCGGGAGCGCTGGCGCCAGCGGCAGCCCCAGTCCCGGGCGCCGCAGCAGGTACCACCACTGGTGAGCGGGGGGGCGCCCCCTCGGCCGCCCCCGCCGCTGGAGCGGCCAGAAGGCGGAGCACCTCTATCAGCAGAAGCAACAGCGTTTGTTCCCGGAGGACTTCAGCACGATCAGCAAGCGGCAGCCCCGGCTACGGGCCCGGCCCCAGCGTCGCCAGCGCGGCATCAACCGACACCGTATGGTATCCGCCCCGGGGCCCGTATCCCCCGCCTTGTTTATCCCCCGTGCGGGGGTAAATCGGCGGGGGATACGGGGCGGATACCGTATGATATCACCTTCAACTTGCCTCCACCTTGACTTCAACTAAATAAGATATTTAACGTCATTGTGCTTTGTGTGCGTCACCGTGCCGATTTAGGCTGGAATTGAACCTACATTGGGGCTACTCGGGGCTACTGGGGATTGGGAATATAAGGGGCTATGTCAAACACGGGTAATTTGGGGCGATGCTAATAAAATAACATAAAAATAGCATTACGGGGCAGATAGTATCGGGATACCCCCGAAATACGTCCCATTTTTATGGCGGGCGGGATGGTCTGTCGGTCGGCGGTCGTTCGTCACGGTCGTTCGTCACGTTTCTATGGTGGGCGTGTTGGTCTGTCGGTCGGCGGTCGTTCGTCACAGATAAGCTCTTCGGGGGCACGGGGGGGGCTCCGGGTGCTCTGGGCCTCGCGCGGCTCGCCGGCGCGGCGGCAGCGAGCGCGGGAGCCGTCGCCGCTGGTGCAGGATCAGGGATTGGTGTGGCAGGAGTGAGACAGGCCCGAAGCCGGCGGCGGAGCTTTCGAACGTGTACGAAGCCCATGCCAATGCGGTTCTCCAGCTCATCGTTCGAGATGAGCCCCTCGTCTTGCAGCACTTGAATGCTCACGACGCCGCACTGAATCAGAGGCTCGTAGAAATGGCCCATGCACAGCTCTTCCAGCAGTTTCTTCATCACGATTCTGGCGAAATATGGCTTC